GAAAGCCAGATGTGGCTCTGTGGGTGGGAAGGAGGGAGGGAGAGGGAGGGAGAGGGAGCACAGGCAAACCCACAGCACACTCGGTACGCCCCTGTTCAAATGCTGGGGGGGGGGCACGGCTGCTTCCTGTATGCCCGCGTCCCGCATGTCCACTTCCGGAACGTTCAGTTCCTGCGTGTCCACGTTCCGAAATGCCCACTTCCCGTGTGTCAACTTCCTGAACGCTCACTTCCTGAGTGTCCACTTCCTGAATGTTCACTTTCTGCATGTCCATGTTCTGCAATGCCACTTCCCGCGTGTCAAATTCCTGAACGCTCACTTCCTGCATGCCCACTTCCTGTATACCCACTTTCTGCCTGTACAATACCTGAATGCTCAGTTCCTTCGTGTGTACATTCTGCAGTGCCAGCTTCCTGTGTGTAAACTCATTAAAGGCTCTCTTCCTGTATGTCTAGTTCCTGCATGTCCACTTCCTGTGCACCCACTTCCTGTGTGTCCACTTCCTGTGCACCCACTTCCTGCGTGTCCACTTCCTGTGCACCCACTTCCTGCGTGTCCACTTCCTGTGCACCCACTTCCTGTGTGTCCACTTCCTGTGCACCCACTTCCTGTGTGTCCACTCCCTGTGTGTCCACTTTTTGTGTGAGAAAAAGCTGAGAGAGCTAGTGTGGCTCAACAGGGTGGCATCACACAGGAAGTTAAAGAGTGGCTTTTGCCAAACTGCACGCAAGCGGCATGCGTCACAGGAAGCACACCTCGCGTCCCACTACACACTCCAACTGCAGGTGAGAAGCCCAGTAAATCAGAGATTTTCAGTGGTTTCACACTCTTAGTGGAGCACAATGATCCCTCCAGTTAATCTAGTTTAACATGCCTCACAGTGGTGGGACGTATATCTATAGATGTATAGTGTAGTGTTGCAGCAGAACGTAAGACATTATAGAAGTTTCAGAGAGAATAGAAGTGCATATCTTTGTTTTATCCAGGCCATAATCCCAGCAGAACCCTCAGGCTGGGGCCTTCTCGTGTTGCCCATCATGCTCACCCATCCCCCCCCCCCCAACACCAACTTTCATAACCCCGCCCTGTTTCAGAATGACAGGCATGTCTGTTGGGACCATCACAGGCTCTGTGACACGCTCAGCAAAAAGCCCCGACATTCAGAGATGCCCTGGTTATAAGATCGCCGGGAGATCAGTGGTTTAGATATCAGGTAGGGAGGCGGTGTGGGGTGTTCTGACTAACCAGAATTTCAACCGAATTTCATGCCTTACACTGTATGTTAGAAGGAACATTTTACACAGGCACACACACACACACACACACACACAGACACTGGCTGTATTCAGTGTCTTCCACGTCTGCCCCCCTCCCCACTGCCATCCTGATTATGTAGGCCACGCTGGGACCTCCCCTTACGTTTCCTCGCTATGTTCTCCTTCGCGGTGTTCTGCATTACCATGCCTTGGGGTTTCCCAGCATGCTGCGGTACTCAGAGCACTTCTGCCACTTCCCCACTCACACACACCACTCACGGGTATTTCTGCAGTACATCCTACCCAGCATGCTCTTCCCGCGTGTCTCACTCTCTCTCACCCCCCCCCCCACCCCGAGTCCACCCTGAGATGTTTGTTACCATGGTTGTGTCCCCCCAAAGCCCACCTGGGTCTCCCAGGGGAGGTGGGGGCAGGAGGGCTACCCCGGCTAGGGCTCTTACTCGCCTACCTCATCTTCCTCAACTCCTGCAGCTGCATCTCACAGACTGGTCATGTGACCAGGTGTAAATAACACTCATATTTACCATGTTTAATCCATGCCTGTCCTGGTACAGGCATATGGAAGTGGATTTACTGTCCGTCGAGGTTGTCGGAAATTCTGTCCTCTTAATGATGCGTCAGTAACTCCTTACACCCCAGGAAAGAGGTGAGAAGGTGCAACTAAGCAGAGAGCGGGTTGTGGAAGGGGCATCATAGTGCAGATGTCCTTAAATGGCACACACACCCCAAGATGAGCGTGTGCTGGGTTTAATTCACCTGCCTTGCTAACGAACATCCCCGTCCTCATGTGGAACGTGGCAACAACAGACGAATCAGGAGAGCGACACTTCTCTGCCAGGAAGCAGACTACCAGGGGACCGGACCACACATCCCCTGACCCCCAGCTCCAAGGCACGTATGTCCATATCACGAGGGATCGGATCCGAGTGGAATCGACACGGAAGAGAACCGGAAGGTGTTCATGAATCTCCGTGAGATGCGCTGTTTCCGTGATGATGCCCAAGCATTTTTGTGACACTCTGTGTCTCTGTAGCGCAGCCAATGCATTTTTGAGACACTGTGTTTTTGTAATGCAGCC